TTTTTGTTATGATCATGCATTTGTAAGAGCAACTTGTGAATATGAACCAGATCATTATGCAACCAGCCAAGGGGGAAATGATTTAAAGTGGGAGCATCCATTTGCTCGACATGCTTTCTAATATTTTCAATTTTTTGCTGCCTAGAACTCTCACCACTAGGAACAGATTTTCCTCTCTTTTCTGGAGGAGACTTCAACCACTCTCTTTAATTTTTCTTGACCCACTTTTTTTAATTTTTCTCCTTTAGCTAAAGGGGAAGCAATGCCTTTCTTGAGTTTGTTCATTATGGAGACAGTGATAGCCTCCCTCACTTGGTAAAATTCGTAAGCAGAATTTGCTGAGACACCCTTTGATTTACACAATAGGGATATAAAGCCGGGGAACCAGAGCTTGCCTTTTTTACAGCCAGCACAAACTCCAATTCCCTTGAACACTAACTTGGCAGCGTCCACAGATTTTCCAACCAATAAGCACCATAACAAAACAGCTTTGTCCCTAGTCACTATATGCACATGTGTAGTGGGAAGCAGCCTAGCTCTAATGAAGTGGTACCAGGTTTGTGCTTTTTCATTTAAAAATTGTTTATGCAGAGTGTAATTTTTGTCATTTACATCCTATTGAGCCCCATTGATAGCTATGACCCCTAACACTTCTAACATGAAATCATGGTCATTTTTCTTTTGGTATTTTTCAAATTCATCTTTGGGAGTCTTAGGTAGGGAAAAGAATTCCCTAATAGCCTTAGGGTCAAAGGACACATTAATACCTCTAACACTCACTGCAGTCTGACTTTTGTCCATAATTTCAGCATAAAACTCCCTCACAACACTGACATTTGCAATGTCCTTAGGATGCAGGTAGAACTTTTCCCAATGCTGGGTTCGAACTACCTCATAGACATATTCGAGATAAGGGGCATTTTCCTCAAATCCCTTGTCAGGAGTGGGGTCTCTAGCAAGCATAGTTTTTTCAAACCTCTCTATGACTTTTTCACATGTAAAAGAAGAGAGGGAAAAACTATCAGGATTAGGTGTGTGTGGGGTGAGCTCTGGACTGTGGGGTCCTCCACTACGCAAAATATGCTTTCTAACCATGATGCAAAGAACTAAAAAAAATGATTAAAAACAGAGAATTGAAACTACAAAAACAGAAATAAAATAGCAATAATAACACCAAGTTGATACTCAGGCCACTCCCCCAAACTTAATTTGGATCTTCTTCCAGAAATCAGCAAAAAGAATTCACTAACACCTGAAACAAAAGAAATAAAAGTGTCAGTAACAGCTATTTTATTTTCAATTTTTTTTTTAACTGGAAACTAAAAATTAAAAAAAATATATCAACAAACGCAGAACAGCAAAGAAAGAAAAAAAATAATTCAAACAAAACAAAACATGCTAATTTTAAAGTCTTAAGCTAGACTTTTGTCACTGTGTTTGTTTTTACACTCTAGAATGGTCACAAAGAGAGATGGAAATAACTGCTCTCTCTATGGACTCTCCAAAATAATGTTTTAATCTTTTCCCATTAACAGTGAATTTCCTACCATCTTTCTCACTCAAAATCTCTACAACTCCATGAAGATGTACCTTAGTGACCTTAAATGGACTAGACCATCTAGATTTCAACTTTCCAGGGAAGAATTTTAATCTAGAATTAAAAAGCAGGACCTATTCCCCCACTGCAAACTTCCTATCCAAAATTTTCTTATCATGCCATCTCTTCATTTGTTCTTTATACAACTTGGCATTTTCATAAGCATCTAATCTAAATTCATCCATTTCATTAAGTTGGAGAAGCCTTTTTTCTCCTGAAGCAGTGGCATCAACATTCAGTTGTGTGGTAGCCCAATATGCCTTACACTCAAGCTCTAAGGGTAGGTGGCAATTTTTACCAAAAACCAGCTTGTAAGGAGAGCAACCTAAAGGTGTTCTATAAGCTGTCCTATAGGCCCACAAAGAATCATCTAATTTAAGGGACCAATCCTTCCTTGAAAGATTCACAACTTTCTCTAAAATCCTTTTAACTTCTCTATTTGTAACTTCCACCTGCCCACTTGTTTATGGATGGTAAGCAATAGAAACTTTATGCTTAACTCCATATTTAGCTAAAAGAGCTTCAAATTGTCTACTAGCAAAATGCTTACCTCCATCACTTATAATAGCTCTTGGAGTTCCAAATCGGGTAAAAATATTCTTTTTCAAGAATTTAATTACCACATTTGAATCATTTGTGGGTAAGGCAGCAGCCTCCACCCATTTGGAAACATAATCTACAGCAACCAATATATATTGGTTTCCAAAAGAAGGTGGAAAGGGTCCCATAAAATCTATGGCCCATACATCAAAGAGTTCAATCTCCAGAATAGGTTTCAAAGGCATTTCATGCCTTCCAGAAATGTTGCCAAGTCTTTGGCACCTATCACACTTATGAACATAAGAATTTGCATCCTTAAACACAGTTGGCCAATAAAGATCGGACTGCAGCACCTTTGCTGCTGTCCTTATGCCACCAAAGTGACCACCATATGGTGAATCATGGCATTGCCTAAGGATTTCCTCTTTTTCTTCCTCTAAAATACATCTCCTAATGATTTGGTCAGCACATTTTTTAAACATGTAAGGTTCATCCCATAGGTAAAACCTACTGTCATGTATCAACTTTTTCTTTTGTTGATAACTTAACTCCTTAGGCAACTCCTCACTAACTAAATAATTAGCTATGTCAGCATACCATGGGGTTGTGTCAGTGGCAACTAAAAATAGTTGCTCATCAGGGAAGGTTTCTGTAATGGCTTGCTCAACCACCTTTTCATCTTGCTGCCCTTCATTAAGCCTAGACAAGTGGTCAGCCACTTGATTTTCGGTTCCTTTCCTATCCTTAATCTCCATATCAAACTCTTGAAGGAGAAGAACCCATCTAATTAACCTAGGCTTTGAATCCTTCTTTTCCACCAAATATTTTATGGCTGAATGGTCAATATACACAATGACCTTGGTGCCTACCAAATATGATCTGAATTTGTCAAAGGCAAACACCACAGCCAACAGTTCCTTTTCAGTCACTGTATAATTCAATTGTGCTCCATTTAAGGTTCGGCTGGCATAGTAAATAGATTGAAAAACTCTATTTTTTTCTTTGTCCTAACACAGCCCCCACTGCCCAATCACTTGCATCACACATTAACTCAAATGGCAGTCACCAGTCAGGGGCTATTATAATGGGAGCAGAAATCAACTTGTGTTTCAGCTCCTCAAAGGCTTTATGACAAGCCTCATCAAAATGGAAAGGGGTGTTGATTTCAAGAAAATGACTAAGAGGCTTAGAAGTTTTTGAAAATTCTTTTATAAACCTCCTATAAAAACCAGCATGTCCAAGGAAGGATCTAATTCCTTTTATGTTTACAGGGGGTGGCAGTTTCTCAATCTGATCTATCTTGGCCTTATCAACCTCTCACCCAGCCTTAGAGATCCTATGTCCTAGCACTATTCCTTCCCTCACCATAAAGTGACACTTCTCCCAATTTAGGACCAGATTTGTCTCCTCACATCTCTCAAGCACTCTTCCCAAATTTTCTAAGCACTCTTTGTAAGAGTCCCCAAAAATACTGAAGTCATCCATGAAGACTTCCACAAACTGCTCTATCATATCAGTAAAAATGGCCATCATGCACCTTTGAAATGTGGCTGGTGCATTGCACAGCCCAAAAGGCATTCTCCTATAGGCAAAGATGCCATAAGGACAAGTAAAGGTGGTCTTAGGCTGGTCCTCAGGGGCTAAGGCTATTTGATTATATCCTGAATAGCCATCTAGAAAAAGGTAAAACTCCCTACCAGCCAATCTATCCAACATCTGGCTCGGAAAAATGGTCCTTCCTAGTGGCTTTGTTGAGTTTTCTGTAATCCATACAGATCCTCCAACCAGTGACAGTCCTAGTGGGTATTAATTCTTTCTTCTCATTTTCCACAACAGTGATCCCACCCTTTTTAGGGACACACTGCACTGGGCTGACCCAGTTACTGTCAGAAACGAGATATATGATCCCAACATCCAGCCACTTAATAATCTCTTTTTTTACTACCTCCTTCATGATTGGGTTAAGTCTCCTTTGCTGCTCTCTAGAGCTGCTGGTTAGGTCAGTAAAAAGGATTTTATGCATGCAGTATGAGGGGTTAATACCTTTTATATCTGCCAAAGACCAACCTATAGCCCTTTTAAATTTTTTTAGAACAGTCAGCAACTGTTCTTCCTCTAAAATAGTGAGCAAATTGGACACTATGACAGGAAAAGTGTCTTTTTCTCCTAAATAAGCATACCTAAGGTGATTAGGCAGAGGCTTGAGCTCTAACACAAGAGGCTCTTCAATTGAGGGTTTGGGAATTTTTAACCCTCTATTGGCCAACTCTAAAGACTCAATTTTTTTATTTTTCCAAACCACATCAAATCTGGAATTTAACCATTTAACAACTTCCTCTTAATCAGTTTGACTGATTTCTAGACCCTCAAAACCAGAAATTTTTAAAGAGTCTGAGGCAGACTTATGCAAAAATTTATCTTTGACCACACAGTCAATGATATCTAGCCTAGAACATTCCTCTATGTCTCTTGGGTATTTCACGGCTTTCAAAATATTGAATTCTACTTGCTCACCATTCACATTCATGGCCAATTCACCCTATTTAACATCTATCACTGCCCCACCAGTGGCTAAGAAAGCCCTCCCTAAAATTATAGGCACCTCTCGGTCTTCCTCATAGTCCAAAATAATGAAATCAGCAGGTAGAATAAATTTATCTACCTTTACCAAGACATTCTCTACCTTTCCTTCAGGATAAACCAAGGACCTATCAGCCAACTGTAAAGTTACAGTGGTAGGATTAGGCTCTCCTACTTTCAGCTTCTTGTACACCCTCAGAGGCATTAAATTGATACTAGCACCTAAATCACACAATGCTCTGCCTATGTAATGGTCTCCTATGGTGCATGGGATTGTAAAACTTCATGGATCTCCTAATTTGGGAGGTGTTTTGCTAAGCAAATATAGACTGCTCTCTTGTGTAAGAGAAACAGTCTCAAATTCTTCTAGCCTCTTTTTTCTTGAAAGAATTTCTTTCATGAATTTCACATAAGTGGGCATTTGTTCTAATGCATCCACGAATGGAATGTTGACATGCAACTGTTTTAGGAGATCTAGAAATTTCCTAAATTGATTGTCTTGCCTTTGTTTTTGCAACCTTTGGGGAAAAGGTGGTGGAAGTCTATTTGAGGCAGCATGTGTCTCAATACTTGGCTTAGATGTTTGACCCTTTGGAATGGATTTTTCCATGGAAATATTCCCTAAAGATGGGTTTATTGGGGTCTGAATTTCTGGTTCAACCAGAACAGGCAGAGGATTATTATTTTCAGCCCCTTGGGGCTGTCATGGACAACATGTGGCTGAACAGATTCAGGATTTACATCTTTTTCTTGTTGCACTTTTTCCTCTTCTCTTTTTTTTTAATGTGGAAGGTCTAACCACAGATTCTGGCTGATTCACAGATCTGCCATTCCTAAGCTCTGTCATGTGACATTGCTCATTATTCCTCTTAGGCTCTTCAGTGTTACTAGGAAAAGTACTAGGGGGTCTGCTATTCAAAGTATTTGCTAAATGGCCTAGTTGGGATTCTAAATTCCTCAAAGATGCAGGAATACTTTGTACAACAGCTTCCAAGCTATTTTGCTTAGTTTCATTCTTAACCAAATACTCCCTCAACAAAGCCTCTAAGGAAGAGGTTGAAGAGGTAGACATCTCAACAACTTGGTTTTGAGTAAATGGTGCAGAAGACTGAGCAGCAGGTTGCTGCCTTTGAGGTTGTTGGAAATTTTGAGGAGGAAAATGTGGTCTGGTTTGGGCATTAGAGGGTCCAGCTTGCTGCCCTTGCCCTTGGAAATATTGGGGCTGTTGATTCTGCCTCCAACCTTGATTAAAATTAGTGAAAAAATTATTTTGGTTCCTATTTTGGTTCTCTACATAGTATACAACTTCTGGGTTGGATGGGCAGCTACCAAACAAATGGGGCCCACCTCAGAAAACACAAGTTTCACCTGTGTTCATAGAATTGACTTGAGGTTGGGGTACTGGAACTTGAGGTTGAGACAACCATGCCTCAATGGCTTGTCCTTGGGTTTTTTCTAAAGTGGATAATGCATCAAACTTGGCTGAAAGGGCTGTTACATGATCTACCTCATGTAAACCAGCCACTCTCCTTGACTGATTTCTCTCTTCAGGCCATTGGGCATAATTTTGAGTCATTTTTTCCAACAACTCGTGAGCATGATTAAAGGACATGGACATAAACATGCCATTAGCAGCAAAATTTGCTAAGGCTCTATTTTGAGTGTTAAGGCTGTTGTAAAGGGTTTGTAGCACTGCCCAAGAGGGCAAGCCATGGTTGGGACATTGCTTAAGAAGGATTTTAAACCTCTCCCGCACATCCTCTTGGGTCTCACCATCCTTTTGCATGAAGTTGATGATATCACATCGGGTTTGCACTATCTTGTTGGATGGGAAAAATTTCATGATAAATTTTTCAGCCAATGTGTGCCAATTGGTGATGGAGTTGGATAGAAGGGAGTTCAACCACTCTTTAGCTTTATCAGCCAGTGAGTGAGGGAAGAGCTTCAATCTTAGTACATCATCTGAGATGTTGGGATTCCTAAAAGTGTTGGCCACTTCTATGAAATTCCTAAGGTGCTTGTGTGGGTCTTCCATCAGCAGACTATGGAACGGCCCCATATTTTGGAGCACGGTGAACATCACAGGTTCTAACTTAAAGGGCACTCCATTAACAGGTTGGGCAATACTTGGGTCTAACTCATCCAACACAGGTATGATGAAGTCCATCATGGACCTATTATTGTCATCTATTATTGGTGGGTTCTCTATCCTCGCATGGCCTCCTTCATTCCCATTTACACTTCCTAAATCCTCCTTTTCTTCAAAATCTAGAAGTGGGATCTGCATAGTTGCTCTCTGGGTTCGTCTCCTAACTCTAAAGGTCCTTTCAGGTTCAGGGTCAAAAGATTCTAAGAAAAGGTGTGGAGTTGCACTCATGCACCCTTTTTACTAAAAAAAAAAATTAAATCTACCTAGCTTAAGCAAACAAAATTCCTATTCAGTATTTTCTAAAAAAAAAAATCAAACAACCAACCAAACAGAAAAGAATTTGAAACAGCAACAGTAACCACAAACAGATAGTGTTATAGAACAGTAAAAAAAAATTAGACTAAGGGAATGAAACTAGAAATAAAAATAAAAGATAGACACGAAAAAATTAAGAACCAAAATAACAGCTATGAAACAATAGACTAAAAAATTAAATGACAAAACCACTATATAAAACATGCAGTAAAACAGAATATCAACAGAACAGAATTTTAAGCTACCAATATTCAAAGGAGTACAATAATATCTACTATCATAATACGGAAACTGAATTCAAATTAAGCTAAAATAAAAAAAATAGCAAAAAGAATTAGCTCAAAAATAGCAATCACACAGTGAAATCTGACAATATACGCCTTCGATCCCCGGCAACGGCGCCAAAAACTTGTTGCCTTGCTAACAGTTATGCAAGTGCGCGCACAAGTATACGCGACTACAAGTAATATAGGTCTTTTATGGTTCCCAGTTATCGTTCCCACAAGGATCTTTGGCGATTTAGACTTGGAATAAACTTGTAATTGCTAATCAGAACCAAAAATAAAATAAAATAAAATTAAGTGCTACTACTATTCTAACTCAAGTGTACTGAAAATATTTTTCTTTTTGCGAAGATTTTCTTTTTAAAATAGTGATTTTAGTTGTTGAAAGAATCTTTAACTACTGACTGGAAAATTAATTAACTAAAAGACTTGTAATTTTTTTATGATTTTCTCTTAAGTTTTAAAATAGAAAATTAACTTCTAAATTGAGCAAAAATACCAAGTGACAAAAATTGATTTTAAAAACAGAGTTTGAAAGCAAGTTGGGTATCAATTTTCCTTTCCCTCATTTGCTATTAAGTTGCTTTGACAGGAACATAAATATTGCTTTTCTTCAACAGTCCCAGTTTAACGAAAATATAAATATAACCATTGTTTCCCAACAACAGTTTTTTACCATAAATAACAGATGACACATCCTTGTGTATCTGTTATTACAAGACCTTGAAGCACCATTTCCTTAAGTTACATGGGGGTAACTTCATCCCTGGAGCCATACCCATTGAGAGAGATCTCTCTCAAATTTCCATGTGCTTACAGTGAGGTCTAGTGTGAGTTATTTCCCAATAATCTCACACCACTAGGAGTAGCCTATGTGTGGCCATCACATAATAAACTCAGAACGAAAAATACACAGTAAACAAACTGGACATTAACACTTAAAGCTTTAAAATAGCAACTAATAACAAACGAGTTCTGGGTACTCTTTCAACCCAACTCTGAGAAATTTAGCTCATCACCAAAGGCTGATGAGCATACACACAGCAAGGGTCCATAACAAGACAGAAAATTAAACATACAACTAGGAAAATATAAAGGCAGAAACTATCTGAAGCAAATAGCATCTGAAACAGTGCTTACAAAATTACAAATTAAAAACCCTAAAAATAGAACAGAACTGACAAACAGTAAAAATAAAATCAGAGAGACGAAGAGAAGAAGAAAGAAAGGTCCTACAATGCTTTTCTCTCCTTTTATAGCCGCTCCTTCTTCCTGCAAAACGGGTCACATCTCAACCCGCACGTATGCTCCACGCTCATCTCTATTGTGTGTTTCCCTTACATGAGTAACCAGCTCACTACAAGGGAATCTTCAACCCACACTTCCAACCGATTACAGCTCACCAAATTGGTTAAAGAACGTATTTGGCTTTTTCTGTATCAAAGGAAATGATTAGTGTAACATCCCACATAATTAGGAAGTTATATAAATTGCAATTGGGAATGTGGAAACCTGTTTGGATTCGAATTCCATATACATATTCAGGATGGAATTAAATTAATTTAGAACAAAAGAAAAATTATTTCAATTGAGAATTTTGGATGAGTATATATGTCAGAAATTCGGGACATAAGCATAACTGGAATAAGATTAATTTCAATTTCCTTATGGCAGTATGATTTCATGCAACCACTAGGTGGTACTAGGTTTTTAGGAGAGTGCATGTTATAAAATTGAAATGTAAGTATGTGTAGGATAGGATTTATTTTGATTATTCCATGTGGAAGCTATAGTTACTATCTAGTAATACATGAAACAATATTATTTAGGAACATCAATTGGGTCCTAGTTCCTCCAAAAGGGAGACGACCCATAGCTTCCCATAAGGACCTAAGCTCAGCCCAAAAAAGAAAATTCCTTACGTAACCCTTAGCCTATCCTTCAAACTATCCACATGTAATCTGCATAGTTGCCCCCATTGGCCTAGAAGTAAATGAATTTTTCCATTCCATCCCCATCCTTCTAGGCGCTGTGTAAGAGTAAGAAAAGAAAACTGATCTCTTATTTTCATTATTCAAAAGTTCAACTAACTCAACTCCTGACTCATCTTCGCCGTGAGCTCTCAAAGAAAACTCAGCTCACTCTTACGCCCTTCCATGCCGGCAAGCTCCAAGGAAAAGCACCTCGAACACCATAGTTCATCTTCTTGTATTCTTCTCCCTGTTCAATCGAACATCAAATTCCAAGCTTTGCATGTTCATTCCCTTCCTCACTGATTCGGTCAAGTGTAGCAAACAAGGGGACTGCAACATGAACTTATCATTCCCTTCCTCTTGTTCGGCCGTAGGCCCATCTTAAGGAGGTGAGGTATTTTTCTTTCTATTCTTGTCCCTTCCTACTGGGATCGATTCTGTTTGAGTGTTCCATTGCATGCAGCTGCAACCGACCCCTTTGGAGTCTATGAAGAGCGAAGGTGATACTCATGGAGTGGAGATTATTCTCTGCAACTATTTCTCTCTCGGTTGATGCCCGGGACAAGTCGTGAGCATTTTGGTGCGTTTTAGGAGGTAAAAGATCAAACCTCTAACCTCTCTTCCCTTCTCTGTTTCGGTTGCTGCATGTAGCATAGGAGGTTTTATGTTGGTAGCTTTTGTCTTCCCTTCCCGGTTCAGCAGGGAAACCGTAGCCTGTGGTGTTGTTGAGCACAAAGGAACGCCATTTGGGAGCTTGGAAATGGCTCCCTATGGAATTCGTGAGACTGTCCTTGAGTTAGAAAAAGAAAATAGCCCTTGCATGTGCTTAGGAATATGTAAACAGCATGTTGTATGCCCCTCTAGCGCACCCTAGTTATTGTAAACAAGGTTATGTAAATAAATAAATTAGGTGCACTAGCTGCTGCCAAAAATGTGTAGGTCCTTGGAATTCTTTTTGTCATTGTTAACAATTGGTAAAATGAACCCTATGTAAGTAAAAGTAAATTAGCTTAAGAACTTTGGTATTTATTTCGAATCAAGCCTTGCATGTGTCTCTAGCCTTGTAGGCAGCGTGCCTTATGCATCCCTAGCACACTCCAAACCTTATAGGTAATGTTATGTATACTATGTAAATGAGTAATTGATAGCATTTGGCTGATGTTCAAAACCGAATATGCATATCTTGGAAGTCTTGATTTTATAAATTGGTAACGTGTGTGAAATTAATATCATGTCAGAAAAATCATTCAGGATGAGAACCATGAGATTCGGCTAAAATCTTAGGAGGGACAACATGAAAATTACATTTGACGTATGGGAAAAATAAAACAAAATTCTGATTTGGTGTTTGATGAACTAGGTGCTAAGGTCTCTAGTCAAAGGAAGTTGGACTGATTTGTGAATGTTTTGATTAAAAAGCTAAAGTGTCAAGGTAAGTGTTTGGTGGTGAGACCTATTGTGACTATTAGCTAGTGTATGGATTTGTGAATTGTTGCTCATATGTGCCTTGGATTGTATTCTGTTATATGTTATATGTATTCTGCCTATGAACGTGATATAATGGAAATTCTGCTATGAGAAGTAATTGTTATGCGACAGCTTGGTATTGAAAATACATGAAAGATATGCTATTATGATGATGATCTAGTCATGCATATATGCATCATAATTTCATCTGTTTCTTTTGTGTGTGCGAAGCATATCATGGCATACAGCATTGTGCATCCAGTTTGGGAACCGAAGTATATAATATAAGTAAGCATGTGATTTAGCATGCATCATATAGACATCCCTCCGGTACCAGGGTATGGGACAGTTGGCTTCAGTCCGCATAGGCCACAGTTGGAATTCACCTTGATGGGAGCCAATATGGAATCTCCACTGTGTATGTTAGTACGTGCACTGCAGTGCTATGAGCGTACATTACCATGGCGTTATATACGCACTATGATTATATGTTAACCTCTGTCCGGAAAGTTAAATGTTGATGCGACTGTTTTGGAATTTTGTAACTAGTCTAATATTGTTGCTTTACTGGTTTTACTGCTGCACTACTGAGATTTTTCTCACCCCTTCGGGGGCTCAATTTTATAAATTGCAGGAGTACGAAAGAGCATTTGATGATGATGTACTTGTATTGGGGATATTCTGTTTACATGCTGCTGTTGGAAATTCTATTGTCTGTTTACTGATTTTGCTGAATGCGCATGAAATATTTGACGTTAGTGTAATATTTGGGAGATTAGAAAAATGCTAGATCATATATTATTTTGCTGTAATTTGGGATTTATGTACTGTTTGTAAATTACGTAATGTTAAACTCGTTTGCGAAAATAATTTCTGTCTGTTTTCAAATTCGGATTTTCTGAAACTGATACTTGCGAGCACCTTGCGAGTTCTGTTTCTGGGGCTACAGATCTCCGTTTGAGGCATAATTTATATGTACTTAAAGCCCCATGTGTCTAGTTTAAGATTATATAAACTTTACAATGAAATTCTGAAAGCTCGATTTATTATGATTTTTGCAAGTCAGGTAGTTTTGGAACATTGCACTGATTTGTCTTATACTTTGCGATGCTCAGTTTCGGGAGCTAGACACCTCCGAATGAAACAATTTTTATATGCACGTAAAGCCCCAGATGTCTAGTTTCCTGTATCTTAAAATATTTTTTTAAGCCGTTGAACTCGAATTTATACGATTTTTACAAGGCAGCAAGGTTTTTCAGGAAAGCCATTATTTCAGCATGCCATTCATTTTGCAAAGTTGCACTCTGATTTCAGTAAACTCCCAGATTTCAAACTAATAGTTAATTAGTAACTCGAAAACGCAGTGCTGTATTTATTTAAAAATTTGTTACGACTCTAATCCGCTTAGCAGACAACTCCCTTGGGTGCACACAAGGGAGGGTGTCACAATTAGGGTCAGTGTGTAGGTTGGTTTGGTCACAAAATAAATCGTGGGTGAGGCTAAGGGTTGGTGGTTTCGACCGAAATCAAAGGACGGTCTGGATTGGTGAAAGGATTCAGAGGGATCGGTTGAGATGAGGGTCTGGATGGAGGTGGTTTGAGGGGTTAGGGTTTGCAAGTATCGGTTCTTTTCTGATTTCTGTTTTCACGTTTCTGAGTCACTTTTGTTTCCCATCTTTTTTCTTTCCTTCATTTCTTTCTTTTCTTTTTGGGCTTTTGATTAGCCTTCCCACGGGACCGGCCCATTCTTTCTTTCCTTTCTCTATTCTTTTCCTTCTTTTCCCTTTTGCTTTCTGATTTGCAAGGTAAAAACTCCAGCCCAAGCTTTTTCTTTATATTTTTTTCTCTTTGCTTTGCTTGGACAAAATCAGTAATTGGATCTGCAAAATACAAAACCAGCCCATTAGCACTTAAAATCAAAATCTTTCATTTTATGCAATTTTTGGGATTTATATTAAACAAATGATACTCTTTCCATTCATATTTTCTCATTAAATCACATATTCCAAGTCACATATAGTTATCAATTTCCTTGTGAGGAAATGAAGCAAGCAAAGGATTGTACCTGTGGGACCATGAATAATTACAACGAAGTAGAAGTTGATTTGCCTTTTGTAGGTCCCACTAAAAATTTGGTATTATACAAAAATTGCTCATAGGAAGTGATTTGCCTTTTGGCGGGGGGCAAGTGCAGGCATTCTCTAAATTAATTTGTCATGAATATTCGTTTTCTTTTGGTAGTGAATAGTGATTGTGTAATCACTTTTGAACACGTAAATGTATTTGTGGCATCATCATAAGCATAGCTACTAGATTTAGGACACGCAGACCTAAAAATTTGTGAATATTTCGAGATGGGCTTGCTTGTGACAACGATTGCTACACTTTCACCATTATTGGGTGCAAATTGAATTTTATCATTTCTCCAATTACGATATGATAGAGCGAGATATCCGATAAAAGATTGATACGTTAATAATAAATTTATTTGTCCTCTCTCATGTACCAATAGAGAGATATCTTAGAGATTAACATCACACTGTGCACTATAATATAAATGAGATATGTGCAAATGACAGCTAAAAAAAGAGTTTAGAATGTGTGTATTTTATTAGTTTAACCCCTTATTTATAAATGGATTACCTGGCAGAAGTGAACTTCTAGGCCTCTTAGGAGCATTGGGGATCCAACTTTTGATCCATTGTTGTCGTAGTAGGATCAATATAATTAAGAAATATTTCCTTAATTCCCTATTAGTTGTTAGCCCTATTTGGACCTTCTAGAATGTGAGCCTTTGTAAAGTCCATAACAATATCATTGAGGAAAGGCAAAGAGCTTTAACCACTGTTGTAAAATCAGGCCCGACCCGTCCGGGTTGACTCGGAACCCGGCGAACTGGTCATCAAACCGATTCGGGTCAAGCATTAGACCGGTCATGCACCGATTCGGTCAAAACCCGGCCAAACCCGGTCAGGTCATGCATTTAAAAAAAACCAAATTTTTTTCATCTTGTCAGAAAAAAGTGTAGAACTCATTCTAAAAACCTTTTATAATTTTATTTGCTAGTATACTCTTCTATAATAACCTCAAATTTAAGTTTCAAACACTAAAGCAATTTGCGGAATAATAAATTAAGAGAATGTGAGATATGTCATTTTATTGTAGTTGAATTTGAAAAATATGAGTTCAATGTCATTGAGAGGTATGTTTATGAGGATTCTGAGTTGCAATTTAAATTGACATAGTAATAACGTGCATTTTTATTTATTTATGATTCATGTTTTTGAGCTTATTTAGTGAACCTTGTTTAATTTATTTTAGATATGGATAATATAATTGAATTTATATGTTCATATTTATATATACTTTTATATATCTATATATATATTTGACCGGCCTGACTAGTAACCAGTGACTTAGTACCCCGACCGTGTCGTTGCCCGGGTCGAGTTTAATAACACTGGCTTTAACCGTGACTAAGTCTGACTAGGGATTAATTATATGGCTCTAATAATTGAAGCTTGAGAATATCCAATAGGTCGACTTTCCTTAAAGCCGTAATCAGGGTCACTTATATATATATAAAAAAAAAATTTAGTTTTACCCATCGTGGTTACAACAATTATTATTTAACCCACTATGATTTGAAATTTATTACTTAGACCTGTTGTGGTTATAAGATACATCATTTAGCCGGCTTTTTGACCCTTTTGCCCCTCATTAAATAATTAATAACCAATTTGCCCCTCCCCCAGAACTATCCACCATCATGCCCCCATTTAGTCGATTAAGTTGCACTTTTAATCGACTAAATGGACTAAACTCAGAAATCATGAAACGCGAATTTTAGTCGACTAAAACTCACCTTAATCGACTACATTGTTTGCACTTTTAGTCGACTAAGCACATTATTTAGTCGACTAAAGATCGCGAAAAACCCTATATCCAGACCTCTCTTGGTCTCATTTTCATTTTATTCGAAATCAAAACTCCTCTCTTGGTCTATTTCTCTTGTTTGTCAGCTGTGAACCTTCCAATCACCCTTCCATTTCATCCCACCACCTATAAGGCATAGTAATTGTGAAATCATTGTGATTTTCCTTTATTTCTCAATTGTTTCCCCCAAATTCGAACCCAAAACCCTAAAATCCGATTCCTACCCCCAAAATTCGTGTGAAAGATGAGCTCAAGTCCAAACATGTATGTTACCATGATTTACTATGATGGAAAGCATTATGAAGGCCCCAATGGTGTTCAATTTGAAGGAAAAACAAAAATGTTGAAAATCAAACGGGGCACTACGTACAATGAGCTGAAGGGGAGGATTCACCAAAAATTGGGGCTACACGGCAGCCATGGCGTTCAACGGATGATCGCCAGGGTACAGTCTACAGTTGGTAAGGATGCTATATTCTACATTGGTAATGATATATGTGACGATGAAGATGTGGACTGTGTCATAGATGCAATTGTGGACCGAAAATTTCAAAACTTTATTGAGATATATGTTGAAATAGACTGTAGTCAATCTTCATCTTCACCTGTGCATGGAAGAAGTCAAAGTCAAGAAGACAGGAGTGGTCGGTTTATCTGCACCTGCACTGTCTTAAGTCAGATACCACTGAGGGAAATAGACGAGGATGAGGATGAGCATGACGAGGATATGGACAGTGAAGACGATGGTGAACCCGAGAGTGTTATTTCGTTGGGTGACACCTCAGATACGGACGTAGAGGGGAATTTTGACGCTGATACTAGTTCAGGAAACTTGAGTTCCCAGGTTATGCCACCGCTCCGTGTTGACCCTGTTAGTAGTGGTAAGATTGTAAATTAAAGTTTTAATTTTGCATATATATATATATATATATATATATATATATATTTGTGTTTTCTTTCGTACTAACAGATAAGTTTAAATTTGGACGTAGGTTCTGAGATTGAGCCATTTTGGAACGACAGCCCACACTATTCGTTCATTAATTGGGCTCACCCTAATGATGAGACGGAGATATTGTATGGCGACGATAACATCCACGGTGGCTGCCATTTAGGGGATCCATTATATTTGTACCAGGAGTTTCGAACTAAATCTGAAATGCAACATGCAGTCAAATTATATTGTATGAAGTCTCATCGTACTGCTGTGGTGGAAAAAAGTGATGACCATAGATTTGTGATGAAGTGTCGACACCATAATGATGGTTGTCCCTGGTACGTGCGGGCTATGTTGCCCAAGAATGGAAATAGTTGGGTTGTTAGTAAGTGGGGTAAAAAACACACCTGCCTAAACCAAGGCCTTACTCGGGACCATAGACAGCTGGATTCTGATGTAATCTGTGCAGCCATTATAAGTATGTATTGCAGAATTTTTGGTTATGGTTTAATTGTTCGGTATATTTATTGATTGTGTTGACTTCGAATTTTGTATAGGTATGTTAAAAGAAGATCCATCCACGAAACCAGTTCTTATTCAGGAGAGGGTACAAAGTTTGTATGGATACAACATATCTTATAGGAAGGCTTGGAAGGCTAAAATGAAGGCCATTGTGAAGTTGTTTGGGGACTGGGGAAAATCATATGACATCTTACCTGGTTGGCTGACCTACATGACACAGTTAAATCCTGGTTCTGTGTTCAAGATTGATACGGATCAGTGTTGTGACGAACGACGTGTCTACACCGATAAGGCTGTCTTTCGCAGGGTATTTTGGACTTTTCACCAGTGCATTGAGGCTTTCAAATATTGTAAACCCATAATCTAAATTGATGGCACGCACCTGTACGGGAAATACAAAGGTACCCTCTTGATTGCTACGTCATAGGATGGTGATGGATTCATTCTGCCTATTGCGTTTGCCATTGTTCCACCGGGTGAGAGATTGGATGATTGGTTGTGGTTTCTTAGCCAGATGCGTTTCCATGTCACACGTAGGCATGATATATGTCTAATATCCGATCGTCACCCCAGCATCATCA